CCTGCCAGACGCTATGTCTGAAGGCACTTTTTTTTCAATATTCATGTACCTCAGATTTTTCTTCACAGGATGTTAGTATTGATTGTAACAATCAAATCTGTGATGGTCTTAAAATATTTCATCTTGGGTTTTTTGAGAACAAGTGTTTTGAAGTTTACAAAGCCGATTATGAAGGCGTATATGGACTATTGACCATACAACAGCATACAAATGCAGTCAAATAAGGTTTAAAAGTTGATTGCATTAATCCAAATGGCATTAAAGAAGTTTTCTTTGGCTCCCAAGTAAGATCCATATTGATTTTGTCGACTTAGTGATAAATCAAATAATATTTATTCGTAGCACAATATCTTGTTTAATTTCTATTCCCTCATAATAGTAAAAGAGAAAGAAGCGAGCAGGACAGTCCGAGACAACCATGTAATCATAGTAGGCGTTGATTTACGTCCTATTTCGAGTGTTTTTTTTTATGGATGTATCGTGTAGAAAATTTTGAAGAATTAAAAAAATTTCATGAAGAAAGTAGATAGCTCACTTGTCGTGCTTCGAAAAGCGACTCTGTAAAAAAAAATGGAGCCACTTTAGTAGCGAGGATCATTGAAAGATTTTTACCGGAGTTAAATAAAGGAGATAGTAGGTATCCGAAAGTTTTTTGTCTTGTACTCAGCAGCTGACGAAGGTGGCATTTACCACTAAATCATCCTGAGGGGCGGAAAATTTGCTTGGATTTTTAAAAATAAATAGATATGTTTGACTCAACGGCGAGATCGACAATAAATTCTGGCAACCATGACGATATTTTTTAAAAATCGTTTAACCGATAATGCCGATAATAGAGGAATGAAACTCAAATGAGGTTAGTTACTCTTACCCAGTGAGTTTAGGTAGCCCTCCCATTGAATTACTACAGAGTTGCTAGAGCTTCATTGCAGTTCCCATGTTTTGTCCATGGAAATTTTCAGGAAGGTTCAGTGACCTTCTAGGAAATTTTGCGAACTATAGGGAACTTTGATGAATTTTAGGAAAGTACAGCAAACTTTAAATAAAGCAGAGAAATTCAACAACTTTCAGATAAGTTCATTGAACTTCAGGGAAGTTCTACAAACTTCAGGAAAATTCTGCCGACTTCAGGGACGTTTTGTGAGCTTCTGGGCAGTTCAATGTCGTTCTGGTAAGTTCTACGAACTTCAAGAGAGTTCTGTGAACTATAGTAACATTATATGAATTTCAATGATGCTCTGCAAAAAGTTCTTTAAGCGTGAAGAAATTTTGACAAACTTTAGGATGGTATGTGAACCACAGGAAAAATTTAATAACATTAGGAAAGTACTGTGAACTTTAAGAAATATCTGAGAATGTCAGGAAAAAAGCCAAACTCAGAGACGGTCAAAGAACATCAAGAAAGTTCGAAAAATGTCATCGAAGTTCAAGGAAATCAAGGAAAAACAGGGCTTTGAATTTGAATGTAACTTCTATAAGCTATTTCATCGGGTCGTTGGTTGAACAACTGCTAATGTATGTCTTAGAAAACAGGTACGCTTCCCTTATGAAATGTGATCGAAGGCATGAGCAGGATAAAAATGAGAGCTCGCCACCCAAATAAATATCGACTCACGCATGTTACATTGCCGTTTACCGGTATAGAAAAGGGAGCTGTTTATGAAAATTGAGGTTCAAAAATATCCAGAAGAAAGATGTTAACAAGAAGTTCAAACCAAACTCGACAGTCAAAGATGTGCGGGTTTGTAGATATTTGTTAGAAAAAAATACTGCAGAAAAAAAAAAGAAATTCATAAAAATTTGCAAATTATGTCTGACGCAGCTTTCTCCTATGAAACGTCCTGCATGTAGTGAAAACCACTTTGTCGCCAAAAGCAGCCGAGGTTATTTTTGTAAACGTCGTAAGAAGACCAGGAATCAATGTTTTTCAATATAAAATCCCAGTTTTTTAATAACATTTTTACACGAATTTTTAATTACCTTTCAGTTAATATTATGATTTTTGAAATCAGCCTTATAGTTCAAAAGTTATACGCTTAAAATAGAGGCATTTAAAAAATAAAATAAAAAATAAACTATTTTTTGGACTACTCTAACGTTGAAATGGTCTCCCTGATGACACAACATAAAATAAAATAAAAAATTTTGGGATAAGGAATAAAATTACAATTTTTTACCAAATTCTAAGAACCACTATATCGTTTTGCAATAATAGTAAATTTAGAGACTACACAATTGTTTAATTATTTTATTAATTTAAACGTTATGAGATCATGACAAAGCTACGATATCTTACGGTATCAATAAGGGAATCTTACTTTACCAGTATTTTGACAACTTTAGTCCCATTTTGAATCATTTTCAGCTGAATTTGTTTCGATCCATAACAGGTTTGTATCATCAATAGTTCGTATACGCCTTTGTAAACGACTAAGTATACTTCAAAACTCTTTTTCTCTAAAAACCCAAGATGAAATATTTTAAAACCACCACAGATTTGATTGTTAGGATCAATGCTAACATCTTGTGAAGAAAAATATGAGGTACATGAATGTTGCAAAAAAAAAGGGCCTTCAGACATAGCGTCTGCCAGCCAAACGAGCCAGCAACGCCTGCTGAGCCGTATGTGGCTGATGAACGCCACCAGATCCGCCATTCTCCCAATTCAGCAACGGAACGCTGTTTGCAGCCCACGTCGCAAGTTTCCGGCCACACGGTAGTGCAGGAGCAGCCGAGTGGGCCAACGCCACCGTCGCGACGCCGAAGGAGATTCTGCTGCAACAGTGAGTACCGTACCGTTCATTAACTTTCGCATACACGCCGCATATTTGTGAAAACCCACACCCACACGCCACAGAATAGGGCAATAATTGTTATAGAAAATGTGAATGTACCTGTGTTTTCATACTCTGTCCGCGTAGCCCCACCGAATACCCAGTAACATGCCGGCCCTGCGGCACAGTTCAGGGGTCTCATGCTACTGAGCTAGTTACCCGGGAGTGTCTGGTCATGCCCAAGGTTGCAAATACTCAGCTAAAACAATGTTTTTTTTAATTATGAAATAATTAGATGCTATGATCATATTTTGAATTGGTAAGATACAAGAAGAGGTTGCAGAGAATGTGTTTGACATATTAAACCTGTTTATTTCACTTCATGCGAGTCACAATCAGCGATTTTTCACACACTCACTCACTCACTCACTCACTCACTCACTCACTCACTCACTCACTCACTCACTCACTCACTCACTCACTCACTCACTCACTCACTCACTCACTCACTCACTCACTCACTCACTCACTCACTCACTCAGTGATCAGCAAATCGCTAATTGTGACACATAGAAAGCAAAATTTACAGGTTTTATGTTTTAAACGCATACTTTGTAACCTCTTCTTGTAAGTTACAAGGAAAACATGTCATCATACCATCTTTTGGTTTTATTATTCCGAAAAACATTATTTTAGCTGAAATGAGTATTTGCAACCTTGGTCATGCCATAGTCACAAAATGCTCATAGACAAGCGCCATATGAACTGATTTGATTAATTTTGATGGAATCCAGCAAAGGACAGAGCATAGCTTTCAGCCGTTAGCTGATTGGCCTTAACAAAAAACGTCGCAAAGAACACCACAAAGTTTATCGTTGAAATTCATCACACAATAACATTTCAGATTAAATTTTGCGAAAAATCAGTGCGAAACTTTTGAAATTAGCATTTTGCAAAAGAACACGCATGGTTCCTTCTACCTCCCCCCTCATATGCAACCATATGGAAAAATGATGACAAATTTCATTTCTTTCATCGAATAAAACTTCGCTTCTCGGTTGGAGATGGTGAATAAAAAAAAAGTCTTCTCATTTTCCGGCAAATTTATCTCCAACAACTGATTCCCATTTCCCAACCGCAGAAACATGTTTCCTAGCCCAATTTCGTAATGAGGCCTACCTCGCAGCAACAGCAGTAGCAGCGATTTATTTCGCCACGTCTGGATAAAATAAAAAAATACTCATTTTCCATACACACACACACACACACACACACACACACACACGCATTCAACAGCCGTTGCGAAGCCACATTTTCGTTCCTTAATAAATGACTTTCTGCCGGTTGTAGCGAGAAAATCACATACAAACATAACTACCGGGTCTTGTTCTCCGCTGGCGCCACCACCCCCACACCACCGCGTGCTGACTGATATATGAGCGCGTGTCGGCCGAGACAAATGAGTTGCTTCATTTTTCTCCAGGAAAATCAGCAGCTGCCTAGCGCGCCGCAGTGCTTTTGAATGGTTCAATCTGTTTTGCTCTGGGAAAGTGATTTTTTTTCGTTCGGTTTAAATCGGAAAAATGGTGTGTTTAAAAAATGGTTTTCAATTGATTCTAGCAGCAAGCGATCAATTGTAAATTTCACTGCAAAGCCATTTAGTCACCCCCCCAAGCTCTAAATAATTGGATACGTAGCACCTGGACGGTGAAAATTCCAATTAAAATTCTTTTCCATTTTCATAAAACTTGGATAATTTTCACGGTTCAACGCATCCGCCCTGCCAATATTTCGAGGAAGGACAGTCGAAAAATATTTACAACCCTAGGAAGAAAGTACCGAAACAATCGAGATGAGATTTCCTCCGTCCGAAAGAACTCTGTGAAAGCGAGGGATTTTCACGGGTGTGTGGGGGGGGGGGGACGAGGTCAAGTGCCGTCGAGCGGAAAAGTAGCAGAAGTCCAAACAGAGAAAAACCTTCCGATTTAGCTCGGCTCCACACGGTGGGGCTCTTCCATCAGAATGGATATCTGTGAAATGAATTTGAATATTTTAGCATTTTCCACGCGACTGACCTCGGCAATTCGGTTGGGCGGTGGTTGATTTTGGGTGTGTGAGAAGAAAGCCTACGTGCAGGCGAAATCACAGGAATTGGCGGCTTCGAGGTCGATTTGTGGTATTTTGTTTAACTTGTATTAAACTGTAAAGCTTGAAGCAGAAGCTTACCCGTTGACTAGTGTGGTTAGCCGGTGGATAGAAGTTGATGGTGTCTACATTGGTCGTCGTCGTCCCGTTCGTCGACTGGTCCGTTGGGTAGCGTCTCATTGGGAGATGGCTAACTTTCGCCATCTGATGGATTCATTCTGGAAAGGGATGCGGAAGAGAGATGGAAAACACGATATAAATAAATTGTACTGTCTGAACTTGAGTTTGAATGAGGGAAGTCAAGCTAACAGAACCTCTGTCATTGACACTTGAAATAAAATGTTAACAATATTTATATCAGAACCTTCAACACAGGACTTGTACCAGAAGTCATCAACTCAAGTAGCACATTTCCATCACGAAAAGTTGCAGCAACCTATTTATGACTGAAATAAGTCTTATAGAAGTTGCCACGATTTTGCGACATTAATCTTTTTGCAGATGATACTGTGTTATTCATTGCAGCTAAGGATTTAGATGATGCCGTTTTACACTTGAATGAAGATTTGCGTTCTCTAATTAGATGGTTGAAGTATAAGCAGTTAAAATTGAATACAAGTAAAACTAAATTTATGGTAATTTCGCGGAATCGAGTAAATGAGAACCTCTCTGTTTTAATTGATGATGAGACTATTGATCGCGTTCGGGAGATTAAATATCTTGGCATGATTATTGATGACACACTTAAGTTCAACTCTCACATTGACAATGTCATCAAGAAAATTGCCAAGAAGTATGGAATTCTATGTCGACTGAAAAACGATTTAACTATTGCCAGTAAAATACAGCTATACATATCAATCATCTCTCCTCATCTTGACTTTTGCCCTTCCATTTTATTTCTGGCCAATGCAACACAAATATCGAGATTACAGCGCTTGCAGAATAAAATAATGCGTTTGATTTTGAGATGTAATAGATTCACTTCCTCAACTTTGATGTTAGATGCCTTACAATGGTTGTCGGTGAAGCAAAGAATTGTATATTTGACTATGGTGTTCATTTTCAAAGTAGTTAACGGTTTGCTGCCTCGATATTTGTGTGATCGAATTGAAAGAGGAAGTGACTTTCATAGATATAATACTAGAAACGCGGTTGAAATAAGAACACCACAGTTCTTGACTTCACAAAATTCATTATATTATAAGGGAATAAATGTTTTCAATTCGATGCCTAGACATATCAAACGTTTAGCAACACTTACAGAATTTAAAAGACACTGCATTTCACACGTTAAAACTGTCTTTTGAACAGTTATCCAGTGATTTTTTTTTATGAATTGACTAATTATGTATCTTGACGAAGTTATCTCTAACAGATTATTTTATATGGATAGCTGTCATAACGACTTTTTAATAATTATTGTAGCACTGCAAAAACTATGTCTGTTCGCCACGAGGGTGATGATGGATTTTTAATATTTGATTTAATAGTAGATTAATTAAAAAAAATAGTCTACAAAGGTTTGAGCCTCCCGCGCGTATTTCGGATATAGAGGACTGAATTTAACATTTGATAAAAAAAAAAATGCAATTTGGAAGCTTATTTGGAAGATACCTTGAGTTAGTAGTAAGCTTTCTGGCAAATGTTAGGGGTTCGTGAGCATTCCTGACATTGCTGAAAATTATGATAGCATCAGATTGCGGGGTTACTAGTGTAATAGGATGCTTTGTTGATTGTTCATTAACTCTTGATTGTTTGTAATACTTATGAATATTTTAGGTGGACAAAAAGGCGAACACATTTATATCGCTGTGAAGCAACTGTAAACTCTAGAGGGAATTTATATCTGTAACTGAAACCAGTTCGATTTTGTTTGCCAACCTGGTTAAAATGTCATATTCAATTATCTTAAAGATAAATCGTCCAGCTCAAACCTTTGTAGGGGTAAGAGGTGGGACCATCGTCATCTTAATTAAAGATAGTTAAGGTGTGAATCGAATGCTTTTGTTTTTAATGCATTACGGTTTTAAATGACAACATACCAGTATATTATTATTAATCATTAGTGAACAATGTGGAGTCAGAGCATAAGGAGTTCGACTCCGACGGTTATGAATAATAATTTTAAACTAGAGCGTCCCAAAATTAGGCCCAAGTGCAACTATTTTGGCTCACAATCAAGTCGATTGGATTTAAGTGCATATTGCCACAAACATGAACAGTAGTTGGATTAACTGTTAATTTCGATCTAACAAACCTCTTCGTTACAATTTGATGATTTTGAAGCATGTATTCTTTTAAGTTTTATATTATTGCGCATTTTGCACCTAAGCAAAGATATTTAATTAACAAGATATCCCATTAATCAATTCCTCGTACAAGGCAATGGATACACCACCCTTATGTGATCGCAGTGACATCTAGTGAGTGCACATTGAAACGGTGGGGAGTCCCCCGCCAACTTTAGCACCAGGGCTCAATAAATGACAGGTGTCAGTATGACATATGCCAGCCGAGGGAAGAAGATGATCGATGTCATCATCATTATATTTCGATAGCAAAATTCTCACTTTGTTACGATTGTATCAATTTTCAATCATTACCACGTTAAACGCAACAGAAACGTTTGAGAATACAAGGACACATCCAAGCTGGGCTTGTAATATGTTTTGCTTTCGAGCGAACGAGTTTCCAATATCACCACCGGTATCAGTAAGATGCATTGTTTACAATAGCAGATACGTCTCTTTGAAAAAGTAATTGAAAATTGATGATTTGTGAATCTGTTGCTCAATATAATCTTTATAAGCAAAGAAGTATACTTCGAAAAACGCAACGTATTGAAATCATTGCTTTGTAATAAAATGTGCCGTCTTCCTTGGCCAACGCTGCACGCATTCTATTCAAAAATTAGGTTGGAATAATGATTACTTTTCTATTTTATAAAGAATGTATTTGTCAATGCCACCAAAATCGCAAACTGAAGCTGCCACGCTGCCAGAGCTGAGTGTTGACGATGAGTAATGACATCACTTCGTGTTTTGATTTGCACTGTACTCACTGGTGTGGGTTCTTACATGCATAGGATGTTGGTGTGCGTGTTTTTTTTTTCAATACTGCAGTTCAACGTTGTATCGTCACAAACCTTTTGGCGCTGTTATCTGTCTCTATAAATTCCAAATAGTGAAGGGGGTCTGACTCCTGCGCTAAAAATAATCCCTCAGATTTGTTTTCGCTCAGGCAAGAAACATAAAACCTATTTATTTTCATAGCTCTAACGCCACTTGAAGTTGATGCGATATTCTTTTGTTATACGCAGTGCTGTACTAAATTACTGAGCTAAAAAAACTCGGAGGGATTATTTTGTGTGCAGTAGTCTACTTTAGTGCATCATGGGCAGTATGCTAAACTTTAACTGTAGTATGTTATGCAGACACAAATAATGATAGTTAATGAGATTATATCCCAGCGCTTTGTGACGCAACCAGGAAGTGGGACAAAAATATGCTCTCGAAGAAATTACGTTAATCTATCCAGCGGGACAAACTTAACGAATTCCAAAGTTGATACATGTTTTGGGATGTACCAATAGCGTACCTTCAAGGATTTTGAACGTACCTCAAAGCTTTCCACAAAAACCATGTCCCGCTGGATAGACATACTATATCGGCATTGACCGATCCCTTTTTGAGCTCATATAAATTAATAATCATACAACGCGAATCATAAGATGGAAGTGAAAAACTCATACAACCCAACTTTCTTAGAGCAAACAACAAGAACTGCTTTTGAACTGATTCAATGCGGTTTACATGTACATCATGATATGGAGCCCAAACTATGCTACAATATTTGAGAAGAGGCCTCACATATGCTACGTAAAGTGTTTTTATTGTGTAGGGATCGTTGAAGTGCAAACTAAATCTTTTAATGAACCCGAGCATGTTGCTTACTTTGTAGATAATGTTGCTGATGTTATTCCTCCAGCATATGTGCTCTCACCTCTCCTCTCATCATTCTCTGGGGGAGCGGAAGATTCGCACAAAAGCAAATAACCGAAAAGTAAAATGCAGCTCTCCAGCTTATCAGCTCAGTTCCGGATCCGACTCGAATGATGGGGAGCTGTTAAGGATGACAACTCTCGAGCCCGTCTAGCTCTCGGACCCGTCCAGCTCTTTGGATCTCTCTCGATTCTTCACGATTCAGCTCCGGATCCGGATCTGAGCTGATGATCTGAAGCTGATGCCGAGAATAGGGAGAGAAATTCTGCTGGAGATTTAACATCAGAAATAAAATTTGAATGTAGACTGGATTGCATGGCTTCAGAAAAGGCGTAACATCGTGTGCCACGATCTCAATCATATCATCGCGTGTGACATACACACTAAAAAAAATCTGAATTTTACTGGTGATGTAAACATCCATGCATGCAAACATTCATGCATGTAAACTTCCTTTTCACGTAAACTAGTAGCTTGCAAGAAATGTTGTAAACAAAGGTGGAAAGTTGCATACAATATATGGAATATTGCATGACATGTCTCATAAATTTACACGATTTATACTGTAAATTTGTATGATTTATGACGCTCCATTTATGTGCATCATAGTAACGGAAATTTACACTACTTTTTTTTAGCTGTGTAGGTGTTGCTCTCTCGCATACATTTTTTATTTTACTGCTATGTTGTTGGCACATTTTGCGCGCATTTCGGTTTACGCGATGGTTGATCAGTTGTAGCGTTAGTAGCGTTTTCCATTGAAAAGTAAAGCCATGTTGTAAGGTACGGATTCATTGGTTTAGACTACTTTTACGATTTTATGCAGTTTTAAGCACTAAAACCACTAATAATTTTTCGATTTTTAATTTGTGTCATAATTTCTATAATTTCAATGTGAGCTGAAGAGCTATTCAATAAAATCGACTCCCTTCAGTGAGCTGGATGGGTTTTATCCACTCAGTCAGATGAGCTGTTTTGCCCACCTTTAGAATACACACACACATCTGACACTTTTGGGCATACTGACAGCGGTAAAACTGGCGGAGATACGACAGAAAAAAAAACAGCTTACTCTTTCACACTTGCATCGCAGTGCTGAATGCTAGAAATAGTAGTCTGTTGCAGTGATCCTCACCCACTATATTCATCACACTGAAGTGAGCTCCGCCGAAATGCGTGATTGTTGCCCTTCGTGGTAAGAACACTTTCAACTC